AACAGCAACAGCAACAGCAACAGCAACAGCAACAGCAACAGCAACAACAACAACAACAAACAACAACAAACAACAACAAACAACAACAAACAACAACCAACAAACAACAAACAACAAACACCAAACAACAAACAACAAACAAACAACAAACAACAAACAACAAACAACAAACAGCAAACAACAAACGACAAACAACAAACAACAAACAACAAACAACACACAACACACAACACACAACACACAACACACAACACACAACAAACAACTAACAACAAACAACAAACAACAAACAACAACAAAAAAGAAACAGCAATCAGCAAACAGCAAACAGCAAACAACAAACAACAATCAACAAACAACAAACAACAAACAACAACCAACAATCAACAACCAACAACCAATAAACAACACCCAACAACCAACACCCAACAACCAACAACCAACAACCAACAACCAACAACCAACAACTAACAACCAATAACCAACAACCAACAACCAACACCCAACAAACAACTAACAACAAACAACAAACAAACAACAAACAACAAACAACAAACAACAAACAACAAACAACAAACAACAAACAATTGGCAACAAACAACAAACAACAAAAGCAAACAACAGACAACACACACCAAACAACAACAAGCAGCAGCAGCAGCAACAGCAGCAGCAGCAGTAGCAGCAGCAGCAGCAGCAGCAGCAACACCAACAACACCAACAACACCAACACCAACACCCACACCCATACCAACATCAACACCAGCACCATCACCAACACCAACACCAGCACCCTCGCCAACACCAACACCAACACCAACACCAACACCAACACCAACGCCAACGCCAACACCAACGCCAATACCAACACCAACAAGCAGCGCCGCGACAACGACAACAACAACACCAGCAGCAGCAACAACACGAAGTTGTTGAACCTTAGAACGCATGGCACTTTGCAAGAATACATGTCTTTGTTTTGATAGTATTCGATTGAGCTTGGTAGTGAGCATTTAAGTGATGCAACTGCCTTGCATATTTTCTATCTTGGGTTGGTCTCCCACATACATGAATAGGTTATGGTGTAAAGACCGACAACTCTTGGTGAAGCAATAAACACACGCCGTATTACGGCACCTCACTGTATATGTGTTCGACGCGTGTGTATATATCCTATTTCATTTGCGACTATGTCGCAAATGAAAGAACACGAATATATCTTTCACATAAACACAGAGCGCGAAAATAATAATATATATATACATATATTCATAGTTATGTTTTTGCTGTGGTGTTTATATCAGTATACATATATACACACCAACGACTGGAGCAGTTTTGGAATACAAATTTAAAGTTAATTTATAATAGTAACTCTTATAAAATGTTTACTCAAATTGTATAAGAGTTACTATTAAAAATTCGCGATGTGTTGGGTCCAGATGAAGAAGAACACCAACAAATGAAGAATGAGGAGAGCGCTGTCATGAAGGGTGAAAATGACTGTGAAAATGTAAATATTGACCCATCATATTCCCTTCAGTACACCCCTCCTCATGCCTGAAATATTGAGGCTTTTTTGTTAACAACAAACAACAAACAACAACCACAACAGCAACAAACAGCAAACAACCAACAACAAACAACAAGCAACAAACAGCAAACAGCAAACAGCAAACAGCAACATCACCAGCAACAGCAAGAGCAACAGCAACAGCAACAACGACGACGACGACCACAGCAACAACAGCAGCAGCAGCAACAACCAACAGCAACAGCAACAGCAACAGCAACAGCAACAGCAACAGCAACAAACAACCACCATCAGCACCACCACCACCACCACCACCACAAGCACAACCACAACCACAACCACCACCACAACCACAACCACAACCACAACCACAACCACAGCCACGACGACGACGACAACAACAACAGCAGCAGCGGCAGCAGCAGCAACAACAACAACAACACCAAAACAGATGTTGCCCTTCACAGAAGAAGTGTTCGGTTCTGGGGAGAAAGCAATTTGCAATGTTGCGATGTGGTTAGCCTGATTCGATCATGGGGCAGCTGTTGATTTGGCACAGCTCCTCTTTTCCCTGTGGGCTGATGTTAATGCCACTGGATTTGAGTTAGTGATTTAGCAGTTCTCGGCTTTTGACGCTGGACCGATGCAACTCTGCAAGCAAACACATCCACTAAATGTTCAGACTGCCATCCGCGAGCGCGTTCCGGTCTACGTGGATGTGGCCGACCCCATTGGACGCTTGTTTCGCACAGTGGTTTCGCGTTGGGGTAATCCGTGAGGTACCCCGTTTTGCCCTTTGACTTTCAGGCTTTGTTCCGGGACACGGTAAGCGTGCTTATCCCTTCATTGTTTCAGACGGGGAGGCACAGATTGACGAAGGCTTTCCCGACTGTGTTTCCTTGCGAGGAATGTGAGGTGTTTCAATCCCAGGAACAAGTACAGTGCGATTTCCAGAGCACACCACAACTTGCTGTTCCGGGGGCTGGCCAGCCTCGAAACGCAGGGATCTAGCGGGACAGCCTGGCATCACAGCAAACTTTGAGAAGAAGTCGCCTTGCAAAAACATTTGAGTGCAAAGGAGGACGTCAGCCTTTGCCCTCCGGTAGCACACTTTAGCAGTCTTTCCGTTGAGTGTATGTGTCGGGCCACTGGATGCTTTACGAGTTGCTTCCCCGAATGCGCTTGCGCTAGCTGTGAGAGTTCTTCCAGTCCCAAGGACCGCGGTTCACGGGGGGCGTTGCTCGCGAACACTCGATGCGTGAGGGGACCCTTTGCAGGGTTTCCCATGGGTTTTCAACGCTATGCCAAACCATGAAGCCGGGGCTGTTTTCAAAATCCCGGCGGCCCTTTCTCCATCACTCTTTAAAACCTGGCGGTGGCACGAAACTGGGGTACCCCCAACCCCTAGTACAAACAAACGACAAAGCCTGAGGTGGTACACTCAACCCTGATCGCCAGAAATCAAGAATTTCCTGAGTTCGAATTCTGAACAAGCACCAACAAAGCCACCTGACTTGGAGCCGGAGGCTACCTAGACAAAGCTGAGACCATGGACGCGGCTGCGATGGAGGCCAACTGCATGGCACTCTGCGGCGCTGGAGCCTTTCCAGGTGGGACCCGATCAAGTTGCACTTTGAGTTCTCGGCATTACTTTTGTGAGGTGGTTGTTCCCTTCAAGCTGCAAGGTGGTGGATCCTTCAGACTGTTGCATTTCTTCCACCTTAGCTTGAGCAGTGCAGCAGGAGTTATCAGTGCTGTTCCAATTGGCCTACTCCTGTTGGAGGGTAGGCAAAGCTACCAAGACATGTGATCTGCATCAACTCCAGTGCACCAACAAAGACCCTTCGTGCAACTTCACATTTCGCTAACCCTTCTGGAAGAATCTGGGTGCTGATGCATCCGGCCCCACACAGGCATAAAGCATCAGAGCGCGATGGCTCCTTTTCCAAGGCCCCGGAGCTTTGATTTTGGAAGACTGTTGAATCTCGCAAGATGGTCGAGCATCTTGGAAGTACCATGGCTGGTTGGCAGTCTTGGATGGTGTTTGTCATTCTTCCAGATTCGCTAAGCCCTCGCCATTGCACACACATGTGAACAAACGGAGAACGTACAGCCAATCGCGAGCGTGTGCGCCAGCAAAAAAACAAAAGAAAACTCCCTCGATGCTTCCAGTGAGCTTCGTTGCCCTTCAAGCCGTCTCACTTCACACCTTTTGGTTGAGGCTGAGTTTCCCTCGTTTCCAGGTGAGCGGACCATATCCATCGAATTTTGGTTGGGCCCTTGTCAATATTGCCAGGGTCTCGGTTGTGGGTCCCCCAAAGAGGTTGCTGGAAAACGGTGGATTCACAAATTCCACTTCCCACCAGTTGAGCCTTTTGGCAACTCAGGATTTTGATTTTGCCCATCCACAATGAGTTGGGTCTCCGAACCAGGTTTGTATTGCACAATACCACACTTATTTTGTACACACTTTAACTGGGGGACCCTTCGGACATCTCGGGGAATGTCCACTGGGGTTCCAACTCAAATGTCCCAGCCACACTGCGGTTGCGAAATCCATTGCGCACCGTTCAGAAACCCAGCGGTTTCTGATTCGATTCAACGTAAACGCCAACAAACAATGCTTTCAACCATGGTCTCGTGACTCGTGGTGCGTGGGTTTTCTGACCTTGTTGTGGTTTTTTGGAGGTTATCCCTAAACCCTAAACCCTAAACCCCTACATCCAAGCAACAATTGGACCACATTCATCCTGCAAGCCATCCGAGGCTTTTCCAACGTTCTGGCCGTTGAGTGCGCCTCGCGGATTTTGACCAGCGGCCCGGGACTCAGTGGCGAGCGATTGGGTGGGGAGTCATCCATAGATTTTTTTTTTGGGGATGGCACAAATGGAGATATACTAGATCAAGGCCATTCAAATATGTTTGACTTGTATATTTTTGTCATTCTCGAGATCCAATTCTCATTTCGGGTTTTGGACATATTGTAAAACTGAAAGAGATGCAACTCATTTTGATACATCTTGAAGCCATGCTAAACATCGTGCTTGCTAGTTGAATTGGAGGAATTGGACATATGTGATGAAGCAGGATGTATCTTTGAGGAAACTCTGTGACGAGCTATGTTGAATTTTAGATGGGCTATCCGAGGCGATTCTGAGGTGCATGATAGATTTTGGTTACCCTGCTAGTTGGTCCAAGCCAAGCTTGTCTGAGGCGACTGATATAGATGCTTTGCACTATGCTTCTGGCACCACTATCAGAGTCTGATGGGCTTGTGCTTGCACCAGTGATGGCCGATGGATATTTTGTCAAGGCTGCAATCGGTTCATGGGACACACGGAAGCGCTTAGTTGCGTTTACAGCAAAACATGGTCGATGGACTTCGGTGGTACCGCAGGTTTTATCTCACTTCAACTGCAGATTCAGGTGCCTCGACCCTTAGTCAAACGTTTTAGAACTGCTTTTTCTTCGAATCGCTTCACTTGTTTGGCACTCGTAACTCGTAGCACTGGCCACGGGGGAATCTAGCAAGGGTTCTGCATTCAAAACAAGCCCTCAAAAACCTTGTTTGCTCAATTGGCTGAAATAGATTGTGTTTCACAGGTTTGAGTTCGGTTCGAATATACCAGACGAATCCCATCGGCTTTTACCAAAGGAGTGCCTTGGGTCTAGACTTAAATCCCAAAGAAAGGACATCACAAGTTGGAAGGTTCAGCTTGGGGGTCAACTCCCTTTGAAGACCGAAGCAGCCAAAAAGCTGAAGGTGTGTGCAGGGGTGGCGTGTTTGGAACCACACAAAAGGGCGATTTTTCACGAGCTTGCACTCATTCCCTTTGTGGGCCCACAAAAAGAGTGTGTACGTAACATATTTATATATCGTTCCAAGCCCGTCGATGGCCATGGAGTCGCTCTCGGAGAGGCTGCGCGTGCCCGAAGGTGCGCCCGCCCGGCAGCTCAGCCCAGGCAGCATGCGGGAACTCAGAGATCACGCGCGGCAGCTGTCGCAGGAGCCGGACCGATGCAAAGCACGGTCCATGGAGTGGTCAGGGCTGACCTTCAGCATCGGCGACCGCGACATCCTCAAAAACGTGTCGGGCATGATCGAGCCGGGCAGGTTGACGGGGGTCTTCGGCCCCTCGGGCAGCGGGAAGACAACCTTGCTGAACATTTTGGCTGGCCGGCAAAGCACCAAAGGCGCGCGCCATGTCCTTGTCAATTTTTGCCCAAAGATGTAGGATGCATTCTGTGCTTTGGATGCTATTCAGAGAAATGCAGAACCCGCAAGTCCGGCCCCAAGGTGCGGGCAGGTCGCTGGTGGGCCAGATGACCACGTCCGGGGACCCGGTCGACCCGGTGAGCTTCCGGGCAAACATCGCCTACGTGATGCAGGACGATGCCCTGCTGCCCTTTGAGACGCCTGCGGAGTGTCTGCGCTTCTCGGCGTGCCTGCGGCTGCCCCGAAGCGTCACGGAGCGCCAGCGGGAGGACCTGGTGGCCAACCTGCTGTCCACTTTGCACCTGCAGAGCTGCGCCAAGACCGTCGTGGGCAGCGCGCTGGTGAAGGGCATCAGCGGGGGCGAGCGCAAGCGCACCTCCGTGGGCATCGAGCTCATCACCAATCCTCGGATGCTGTTTCTGGACGAGCCGCTGAGCGGCCTGGACTCCTACGCGGCTTACACCCTGGTGGTGGCGCTCAAAGAGCTGGCGGAGGTGAAAGGGGGTGTCTTTTTGTTTTCCCCAGATGGCTGAAAGCTATAGGGGTTCTAACTTCTAGCAAAGAAGGGAAAGTGATTTGCCAGATTGACGGCTGGGTGCTAGGGGGTGTGCAGTTTGGTGCTGGTGTAGGTGCTGTTTGGGGTGCGGTTTGAGGTGCTGGTGATGGTGCGGGTGTATTCTTTTGGGATTGTCGGCAGGGTGCTGGGGGGTCTGCAGTTTCGGTGCTGGTGCACGTCCTGTTTTGGGGATACTGTTTGTGAGCTGCTTAAGGCGCGGGTGCATTTTGCAGGATTGACGATAGGGGTGCTAGGACGCATGCAGTCTGGGGTGCTGGCGCAGGTGCTGCTTTGAGATGATGTTTGGGGTGCTGTTTGAGGTGCTGGTGATGGTGCCTGCGCATTGTTGCGAGATTGACAGCTGGGAGTGCTGCTTCGGGGTGCTGCTTCGGGGGTGCTGGTGCGCACTTTTGCGATTGATGGTAGGGTGCTAGGGGGCATGCAATTCGGGGAATCTTGTGCAGGTGCTGTTTGGGGTGTTGGTTGAGGCGCTCTTCGGGCAGCGCTGTTAGAGGTGCTGGCGCACAACCGTCGGCACGTGTTTCGCTATTTGGGGTCTATGCCGGTGTATTTTTTGAAGGGAACCCAAATGGTTGGTTTCCTCATGTTTTCTCTTGGTTTCCCTTTTCTTCAAAAAGGGACACCCTCAGAAAATTTAAGACGCAGGTGGAGGTCCCGGTGCTGTGCACCGTCCACCAGCCCAGCTCCGAGATCTTCGCGCAGATCGACGACGCCATCATTCTGCACGGCGGGGAGGTGGCCTACCAGGGCCCCGCGGAGCAAATCGCCGAGTACTTCGATCGGCTGGGCCATCGCTGCCCTGCCAACTTCAACCCGGCGGATCACGTGATGTTCCTTCTGCAGAAGGAGCCGGCCGACAAGCTCCGGGAGATCAAGCAAAGCTGGCTCCAGTCTGGCTTGTGCGCGCAGATGCAGCAGAGATTGGCCAAGCTGACGGCATCACAAGGCCGGAGGGGAGGAAGTCACTGGCGTAGGTTTGAAGAAAATTCAGCGATTGGCTTGCCGTGACGTTTGTCTTGCCGCGAGAGGCAAACTGATGGTGGTCTACGAAATCTTTCTCTACAAACGATTCTTGCAAATTCATGATTGTATTATTCTGTTTTAAAACAACCGTTTCCCGTGCGAAACAGTTTTGTGTCTGTCTTGAAAGCACTGTATTCTGTAAACGTTGTTTCGTCGCGGGAAACTTGCGGAAATTCAACAATATGACTGCTCTCGAAACTTGGAAACAACCGTTTCGTTGGAGACTTTGCTTATTGGATGGAAAGTAACTTTGCTTCGGTATGGGAAACCAACCTTTTACCAGTGCGTTTCCTGAATGAAACAAAAGTTTTCTTATCCGTAGAAACTTTTGTTTCTCAGTGGAAACAAGTGTTGTTCCCTGTCTGGGTTAGCGGTCATCCGGCGACGCTACTCTTTAGGCAAATGAGACTTTATCCACGCCCAAGGCGATCGCGCCCAGTCCTTCCTCCCCTCCTTGGAGGACCGCGTCGGCTTCTGTAAGCAGCTCTCCATGCTGGTGGTGCGGGAAGTTCGGGGCACGCTGAGGAACAAAGGTGTCCTCATGGCGCGGTTTGGGATGTCCCTCTTCCTGGCCACACTCTACGGCTGGCTCTTCTCCGGCAGTGCCTCCCGCGGGGACAGCGAAGGCGCCAGCGACGAGGGGGGCTGCCTGCCGGAGGATTTCAGCGCGGGCGGGTGCACTGGAGACTTCCAGGCGCATTGGGGCACCGTGGTGTCCTTGAGTATCATGGCCATGATGGGAGCCGCCCAGCCCATCATCCTGAACTTTCCCCAGGAGCGGCCCGTGTTCCTGCGGGAGTACGCGGCCCACCAGTACTCAGTAGTGCCTTATTTCATCAGCAAGACCCTGGTGGAGCTGCCGGTGGTGCTGGTGTCCCAGATCATCATCTTCGGGGTGACCTACTTTTGGATGGGCCTCCATGGCAACGTCTTGCTGCTGGTGGGCGTCTCCTGGCTGCTGGGCATCGCCTCCTCCTCTCTGGCGCTGCTGGTGGGCTGCGGCGTGGCCTCCGCGCAGAAGGCCATCCAGCTCACCCCGCTGGCGCTCATCCCGCAGATGCTCTTCTCGGGGCTCTTCGTGCCGGTGGCCAAGATCCCGGCCAGCCTGCGCTGGGCCCGGTTCCTATGCCCCCTGAAGTACGCCATCAACCTCATGACCATCGTGGAGTTCCAGTATGTGAGGCTACGAATCGAGGACTGCGAGCAGTCCATGCCAATGGAGCAGTGCGTGCTGGAACACCCGGGGGATTACCTGCGGGATCATTTGATCGTCAAGACCCAGAGCGTGGAATGGAATGACTGGAGGTCATATTTGCTGGCGTTGGTGGGCCTTGTTTTCCTCTTCCGGATTATCGCCACCATTCTTCTTTGGCGCAAGGGCAGGTTTGTCTTCTGAAGAAAACTGCCTGCCTTGGGCGCACATCTTCCCTTTTCTGCGCGCGTGGGCCTTGTCACCCAGGCTGCGCAAAGGCGGCCCAGTCAACGAACCGTTGACAGGATAGTGCCATCATGCCGTCTGGCAAGTCATACAAATAGTCAAACACATATGTATGTAGGTATACATATATATATATATATATGCACACACACATATATATATATATATATAATAGTCATAGTATTAATGAAACTAATGGTAATTAGGATAAATAATGATAGTACAAATACTAATGCTAAAACTAATACTAATTGCAATAATCAGAATAATAATAGTAATACTAGTAATAATGCTTATAGTAGTAATAGTAATAGTAGTAGCAATAGTAATAGTACTAGTAATAGTATGAGTAGCAGTACTAGTAATAGTAATTAAGAATAAGAACAATGCGAATTATAATGATGACAATAATCCATACTGGTAATAATACCAATAATGATATATATTTATATATATATATGTATATGTATATGTATGTATATATATATATATATATGTATATGTATGAGTTGTATCAAATTGTTCTTCAGGGGGAGACGCGGCGCAGGTGCCCGCGAGCTGCGTGACGTGGACTTCTCCTACTTCACCTCGGGCTTGGGCGGCAGCGGCGCGGTGAACCTCTTGCGCCGCGGCCGATCCCGCGGAAGCGCCGGCCGCGTTTGGTGGGGCGCGTTTGGGGTATGCGCATTTGGTTATGGGGCAAAATCCAAATCGTACTCCCAGTGAACATCCCAATCCCCACTAAAACAGGTTCTAAAATGGGTGGTGCACCTACCCCAAAATGGTACCACTTGTTTTGACCCACAGCCATTTTGGTCTGACAGCCTTTGGCATTTTTTTTGTTAGGGCGTGCGAGCAGAGCAGATTCAGATCCGTGATCCCACAGTTTTGAATCTGCGACGGTTTATTGATCCGGGATCAACATTGCAGCGAAGGGAAGCCGAAAAGGAAGCCAATCTTTTTTCAGGTCAAACAGAGGAAGGGAGCAATTTTAAAGGGAAATGGAAGCGATCGGCCAATGTTTGGAAAACCGTTAAACAACAAGTTGGGTTTGTGGCACCAAGTTGGATCTGGACCCGGGTGTTCAGGTGAGAGACTTACACATGGCTCCCTGAAGAATGACACCGCATGGCATTACCTTCCCGAAGGAAGGCGATACTTAGTACTTGCTTGGGGCTGTTCCCGAACATTCCATTAATTTGCGTGTTTTTGATCATCGTTTCATGGCCATGCCCCATTTGTCCTGTTTGGGGAGGCTACCTGAAGTTTCTTTCCCTTTTGAAGCATCCGCATCGGCATTTCATGGCCTGGGTTCAGAATTAATCCTATGGTAGTGGTTTTCCTTGTTGTAGTTTCATGGGAACTCCGGATGAATAAGCCCCTGGTTGTTGCTGTCCCCTAGTGGGAATCCGGATCACTTTTGTGGGCGGCAGTCCTGTTTTATCACTCCGGGTCCACATGGGTGTGGCGCAAGATTAAATCGGAGGGGCAAACCCGCAGGTCTTGCCGCCCATGTTTCCACTTACCTACCAGGGCAACCCATGACTTAAAAACAAACAAAAAAAACCGAGCCACCGCCGCGTTTTTGCGGGCCCAAGGATCACCAACCTCGGCTTCGGCGAGCCCGTGCCCGTCTACCGCGACGGCCGCTACGCGCCGCAGATGACCGCCGGCGGCGAGATGCGGCAGGTGGACTTCTTCCTGGACGCAGCCTGGTGGAAAAACTGCCGAGTTGGGTTGGTCTGAAAAAAGGGCAACCTTCAAAAAGGGTTGGTCTCCCTTTGAAATGATGCAAAAGCAAGAAGGGTACCCTCAGAGAAAGACACCCGCTTGCGTGACCGCCACACTCTAGTGAGCGGTTCGGATTCCCGATCATTGAGGGCCCAAGTACGATTTTTCCTACGACCCAGTAAGGGGACTTTCTCACTGGGGTAAAAACTGCTTGCTAAGTGCGTGGGTCATAGGGATGACCCTTCTACTCACAGAAGCCTGACTGGAGGTCGCTGCAAAGGGACCCTTTGACAGAAAGAAGGATCCTATTCTGAATTGTAGAGAACATCATAGTGTTCCCGTGGAGCATTCGTCTGGTGATCAATCAGGCTGAAATGTTTCCATGCCAAGACAGAACCTTTGCGCTGCCTCGCTTTGGCATGTGGGCTAGATGACATCACGCCTTTGCGCGCTTGCCAACTGGAAGGTGGATAAATCCAGGTCGCGGAACGTGACGTGAGGGAACCTTCGAGCCTGAAGACGGCACTCCTGAATCGGTGATTTAGTTTGACACTTTTGGGGTTGAATCCGATTCCTTTTGGAACCTGGGGAAGCTGCGCCGCGTCCCAACCAAGCCACCAATCCACCAAGCAGAGGTAAGGTGATTTGAGGTGCAGATACTTGCTGGTTCTGAGCAGGGAAAGAGGGACTTACCCCCGATATCCCATCACTTCTGGTTTCCTCTGTTTGCCCCATTGGTCGTTGCCCAAGGAAGCCGACCCCGCCTTCCGCGAAGTGGGGCGGCGAGATGTCTGGTCCTGGCCCTTCCCAGAGGCGGGGCTGTGCCTCCCTCCGGACACGGAAGCAGCTCTAAGAAGGGGCCGTGGTGTGGGTCAAAAATTAAACCAGGAGTTGGACCGCAGGTTCTAGCCTTTGTTTCCCTTTGCCGATCGGGCAACCCATTTCAGGTGCCTATTTGTGACCCACACCCGTCATTTTTTTTGGTGGCTCCAGGTAGATCCCGAGTTCAGGGGAATGCAGGATGCTAGGCCTAGCGAGCATACACCAGCCTCCTTTTTGATTTGGCGGACAAACGACTAGTTGTGGCGACTTTTGCCAATTGGCGACCTTTGAGCCGGGCCCCTGAGAAGGCTCGCTCAGCCAAACCAAAAGAAAGCCACCCGTTTTGAGGGAAATCGTCGGTCTCGCCCTGCACTCGATGCAGGCCTATACCGTTCCTCGATCGATCCACATCCAAGGCACTTGGGACGGTTGGATGCGGAAGCAAAGCTCTAGTCTAGGTCAACGTGGCCCCCGTGTTTGGTAGATAAAGGGAAGCCAAAAGGAAACAAGACTCATGTTCAGGGGTCCCTATTCCCGGATGCACCCATTTGAATCACTGGACAATGTTGGTAGTCTATTGTTGGTTTGGGGAGGACGAGAAGGGGGGCGGAAAATCCCAAATTCCACACGCCCATTTTCCGTGTCTTTCTGCGAATTTGCCGGGCAAAATGTGGGCAAATTGTAACGAACTCGCCTAAAAGGTAGAAGGAGCTTCCCATAATGAAGGTCTTGCGGGGTCTTCCTCATATCTCGTTTGCGAATTGCAGTAGTTTGCCCAGGTTCATTTGAACTCGGCGCCAGAAAGATGCTCCACTTCAACAGACATGGGCAAGTTCAGAGGCAGCTTCACCATGGAATGTGGCTGGCTGGCCATCTGTGATAGCTTATTTTGGGCTGGCGAATTCTGGTAATGCACCCAGACGACCATGACCTCCCAATCTGTTTGGCGTTGTGCCACAGCAAACCCCTGATGTATGGCTGGGCAGAGATCCGTCTCAAGTCCAGGGCTCTGCTCTTCTCGAAGCAAGACAAACTCAACTCTGTCTTTGTCATCTGCTTGTTTGTTTGCTTGCTTGATTGCTTGCTTGCTTGGTTGGGTTGGGTTGGGTTTGGCTTGGTTTGGTTTGGTTTCCATTCTGTTCTGTGCAGTTCCGGCTGGCTTGGCTTGGCTTGGCTGGCCGGCTGGTCGGCCGGCTGGGGCGTGGCCAGCTGGCTGGCTGGCTGATTGGTTGGTTGTTTGTTTGTTTGCTTGCATACTTTATACATCGCTACAGCCAAGGCTAACTGCCAAGCACTTATTTTCTTCTTCATTGTTACTTGGGCATGGGTCAAAATCCGGTACCCCCAATGAACATCCCAATCCCCACTAAAATCCCGACTAAAAATGGGTCCCTGTTTCGTTTTTCCAAGCGGGGGCGTTGCATTGAATTCCTCACGCCACCAAAGTCCCGCGTTGCAGGCGACTCGAGCACGGGCATGGGGACGGCGCCCGGAATTTGGAACCACATCCTGGTGGCCGCTTGCCTCAGGGGCTGTGGGGTGGGGTTGGGACGAATTTGTACCCCTGATGCGGACCCCAAGGGACGAGCAAGAGGAGACTTTTTAAACAGCGGTTGAAACAGGTTTGCACAAACCAATCCTGGGTGTTAGGCGTCATTGGTGCACATCTTTGCAGGAGCTTTTAGGAGACTGCGACTTGTTGGCAGCGCATGGGCTTGGATAAAGTTAACAGTTTAGTAGGGTTTAAGTACCATGTATGGAAGCCTTGTTGATTCTTTCCCATGGGTGTTTGGCAAACTTTTTTAACCGCGATTGTGACTCTCTGAGAGCCAAGCCTTGGCTCTAGGGCCATCCAAGGCACGCTTAGGGCCGCAACCTCCGGGCCTAGCATGTGCCACTTTGGTCTGGATGTTCAACCACTTAGTAAGAGTCGTTCACCAGGGAACCCCATCTCACCCCATCCATCACCGTGTCTGCAATCCACTTGCTAAGTAGGTCGAGCATCCAAGTAGTCCTTTCTCGGGGTTAAACAACTCAGAACTTTCTTCAAGCGCCGTCTTCAAGGCCGGAAAATCCTTGGCTGGAGACAGCTCCTCGCAGGCGCTGGTGTCCCTGCTGCCCCGAGACCTGTGGCGAAACCGAAGCTTCTCAGAGGCGCTGGCCTGGTTCTCCCTTCCCATGGTCTGGGCGACGGACCAGCGCCTTGGTGTGGCTGGGGATGGGCCAACTGTCCTATGGGTGGCTCGTCTTTCTTTGAGGGTACCCGTTTTTGGTTGGTTTTAAAGGAAAGCCAAAAGGAGAACTAAACAACGACACAGCCACGTGGAATCCGGAAGATTAGGAAATGCAGTACCAGCTCCCTCAGGCGAGGAATCGTGTGTTTTGTTGCTACTTCATTCTTACAGAGGGACTGGGCTTCAAGCGCTTTGGCAGGAGGATTATATTTTCTCTGGTGCAGCCGTCGACTGTTGATGATGCCCAAGTGGACGAGGAACTACCACCATTTTCAAAATGCCTCCTGCCCACTTCCAGAATTGTTGGAAAGACGATATTGTTCTCCCCCAACAAGCACCGTATTTTCTGGGCCTGCGGCCTCTAGCCGGCTACGCCTCTTTGAAGTTATACCATGCCATGTCATGTTTTTTGTATGAGAAACGTATCCTGTGCTATGATATGGCTGGTTAGGTTATGCATGTTGCCCACCCCAACCCCAGATGATGCCGGGGATGCCAGCTTTCTGGGCCCTAGCCGGGACCCAAACCAGAAGGCTGACATGGGGTCGCGCGCGCGCCAGAGGCCGCAGAAACAGCAACAGCCCGCAAGCCAGCCCGGAAACGCAAAAGCAACAAAACACCGTAAATAGCAGCGTTTTGTGGCTGGGGTCGCGCGCGCGCCAGAAGGCCCGAAAACCAACCCGAAAAAAGCAAGGACCGCGCAGCACGCGAGCCAGCCACAGCAAAAGCAAAACGGACAGAACGACAGCCCACCGCTCAGCACAGCAGTTTTTGACGGTATTTACAGCGTTTTGTAGAGCGAGGACCCAGCATCGCCGGCATGCCCGGCAGCGCTTGGCGCCAAAATGCGTGAAAATGAGCCTCGCTTATATCCCTCCGACACCTTCCGCAAAACATCGCGTATATGCAGGGTTTAGGCCATGTGGCTGACATCATCAGGGTCTGGGGTTGGGCCTGGGTGATGCTTCAGCGGGGCTTGGTCTGCATCATCAAGACTTCCTTCCAAAAAGCCTCTGCCGGGTTTAGGCAGCGCATCACGACCAAGTGGCGAGGGTCGGCGGCACCAGGGTGCACCCCCTATAACTAAAGCTAGCAGGCTAATTGCCTAGCGGCGACATGCTACCCCAGGAGGCGTAGCCGGATTTAGCAGGCTGACGCCTGATGCCGCCGACCCCCGTAACATCGTCATCATTAGCATCAGCATCATTATCATCATCTGTCATCATCATCCTCAGCATCAGCCTCAGCATCCTCGTAATCCATCATCAGAACAACATCACCATGGGCATCAGCATCCTCAGCATCATCATCATCATCATCATCACCCACCATCTCATTTTCATTAATTAGCATCAGCATCATCACTATCGTCATCATCATCGTCAGCGCCAGCATGCCCATGGGTCAGAACTGCCTTTGGCCAGAGTCCTCGGCCAGCAACTTGAGCGAACACAACCCCCCCCTATTTGCCCAGAGCAATGTTCATTGTATAGTGGGTTGAACTTACCTCCCGCAGAGGCCAACCTGGAAGCTCTAACGGAACAAGGTGGTCACGAGCAGTGGGAGCTTCCACAACAGGCAAGCAGTGTTGGGCCTACCTCCGCAAAAACAACAGGTACAACTAGGCACTTCCGTTTGGCCGGCTGCGTATTACACGACAAGCACCCTTTTATTTCTGCCTCCTGTTTATGGGACGCCCTTCTCCTGCAGAGCCAAAAGGCGGTGGACAATTTCCATGATTGGCTATTCAAGGGCTGTATTTTTCCCTCCTCCTTGGCAAGTACCTGCTTCTTTCATGGGGCTCTATGTTCCTAGGATTAGAGGTTAGGGTTTAGAGGTTGGGGGTTAGGGTCATCTTCCCGTAGTCTTCCGTCATCTTCCCGTAGTCTTCCGTCATCTTCCCGTAGTCGTCCGTCATCTTCCCGTCATCTTCCCGTAGTCTTCTGTTATCCGTGGTCTTCCATCCTTTGCCCGTCATCTCCGCCTTTGTGTAGTCTTCCGTCATCTTCCCGTAGTCTTCCGTCATCTTCCCGCACTCTTCCGTCATCTTCCTGTCAGCTTCCCGTAGTCTTCCGTCATCTTCCCGTAGTCTTCCGTCATCTTCCCGCAGTCTTCCGTCATCTTCCGTCAGCTTCCCGTAGTCTTCTCCGTCATCTTCCCGTAGTCTTCCGTCAGCTTCTCATAGTCTTCCGTCATCTTCCCGTAGTCTTCCGTCATCTTCCCGCAGTCTTCCGTTAGCTTCCCGTCATCTTCCCGTACTCTTCCGTCATCTTCGTGTAGTCTTCCGTCATCTTCCCGTAGTCTTCCGTCTTCCGTCATCTTCCCGTAGCTTCCCGTTATCTTCCCGTAGTCTTCCGTCATCTTCGTGTAGTCTTCCGTCATCTTCCCGTAGTCTTCCGTCATCTTCCCGCACTCTTCCGTCATCTTCGCGTCAGCTTCCTGTAGTCTTCCGTCATTTTCCCGTAGTCTTCCGTCAGCTTCCCATAGTCTTCCGTCATCTTCCCGTAGTCTTTCATCATCATGCATCAGAGGTTCGGGTTAGAGGTTAGGGTTAGAGGCTAGGGTTAGAGGTGAGGGTAAGAGGTCAGGGTTAGAGGTCAGGGTTAGAGGTTAGGGTTGGAGGTTAGGGTCAGAGGTTAGGGTTAGAGGTTCGGGTTAGAGGTTAGGCGTGTCAAAAATCCGCCGCGGGACCCCCTCTCCCCCCCTCAGACTCCCCCTAACCACCACTTAGAACACGCCTCGCCCCTTTGCAGAGACTAACTTGGCTTTTGCAAAGGGGTTGGCGGATTCCGTCACAGTTCTGCCTGGGTTACTGGGCACTGTCAAGAGGGCAGGTTGCGTTGGCACCACTTCAAACGCCCGGAAACCCCGGAACCCCGGAACCGTCTCTATGCTCGGAGGTTTGTGAAGGAGACCCATGCCATGCGCGTGGAGGCTGAGCTGAGGGTTCGATCCATGGGCAAGTTATCAGCTCGTTCGGGGTCCGTAGAGCTCACCCATGAGGAAGGGCCTTGGGGTTCCCTTACGCGGAAATGGGGAAACTGTCGTGCAAATGCATTGGTTGTCCGTTCAAAGAAGGTCCTTTTGAATTTTGTCCATTTTTGGATATATGTTTTTTGGTCCAGGGGGTGCTTTTGAGCTGGGCTGGCTATCTCCACTTGACAGGGTTCGTTTGTAGTTGAAGAAGCCGTGAACGTCCCCGGTTCGTTTATTTGGTGATTCTTTTAATCACCAAATAATGAACGTTTCTAGATTGAATCATTGAATCTGCGCAGCCAACCCAACTCTCCCGCTTTTCACCGGCAAACGTGCGTCTTGGTGTTACACCACTCTTGGGATGGAGCCTCTCCGAAAGCCATTCAACGCCTCGTCGTAAGCACTCCGCACTCCAAGCTTACCAACTGAGTGAACTGCAGGCTTGAATACTCAATCACCAACTGACCTCAAATCGCGCAGAGAAGTCTAAGCCAACGCTGAGCACAAACTCCCAACACATGCTAAGGGCATTGCACACAAGTCCTCGACTGTCAATTCGGTGAGCTGTTTGCAGCCTCAGCAAATTTGTCCAACATCCATCGTTGAACGATGCATGTCTCATTCTTTCCCACGAAAGCAGCTGGCTTGCACTGTGGCCGGGGGGGGGGAGCCAAATGGTAATGCTATGCAATCCAACGACTCATTGATAGCTACACTTGACAACGGCAGCGCAGAAGTAGCGGCAGCAAGCAACATGATGGGACATCGTTGCACCATACAGGCTTGCGCCCCTGTAGACGCTCATCGACGTCTACCGACTTGCTGCCACGTTTAGCATCCAAGCATCCAAACTTTGAAGCAGCATGTCTTGATTTTTAGTTGTGCCGTGATTGTGTACATCCCACATGTTTTGTCATCGGACTTGGCCATCTCTACAAGTCAAGATCTGAAAACCGGACAGTAATTCACTCGTGACGATACATGCGACACCCCTGATAACAATATTGGAAGGAACCATATTTTACAATGTCATGTGTACCACCCCCAACGGTTTCTGAGCGCAAGACTGGTGCGCACTTCTGTTGCCTAACCTCCATAGCCTTCTCCTCGCTTGCGTTTTCCCTGGGAGTTTGAGTCAGGGTGGTTCCCTTTAAACCATTTAGCGGGTAAGTTTGAGGATGCCATTCTGATGGACCCAGCGAAAGCAATGAAAGCGAGCTCACCGATCGCGGGTAAAAAAAGCTCACTGCTGAATGTAAATGTACCTTACTAGTGGTCTTCCTTTTTTGAGCTTGGCGATTTGGCTTTTGCAAATGCCCCAATTGCATCCGTTTGGTTCCCTTTCAATTGCCGGGGTCTGGTTGTGTAAACACATTGTGCAGCCCTGACGCCAATGCATCGTTGGTTTGTGAGCAGTCTGAATTTAGGGGCAGGAGACAAGACGAGCGCCTTGGATTTGTGAGTTGATTGTAGCCTTGCTCTGACATGGGAATCATCGCATGAAGCCGGGAACCCCCCATCAACATTCCAAGTCGGTTCCCCAGCGGACTTTTCACCTGGGAAGATGATTTCAGCACGCAACAAGTCTGGATGTTTGACCATTCCACACCTTCCCGCGGACTGCTCACTGAAGATGTAAACAAGAGGAGGCAGAGGCTTGACCAGCCCATGGGACCTGGACAAATCCAATCGGGAGGTGAGCGGCAGCGAGTGGCGATGCGTGGCGGTGCAGGCGCACCGCAGCTTCCGGCGCTGCGTGGCGCAGAGCGCCGCGGAGTTCGCGCTGCACCTCCTGCAGCGGCGGGAAGGCGCCGGCCGCGCGCGCGCGTCGGCGCGTCGGCGCGTCGCGCGAGGCGGATCCAGGGGGACCGTCTTAGGAGACAGGGGGGTCTTTTTGCCTTTTGTGAGAAAATTGCCGACCCCCTCAAAAAGGAATCCTTCACTACGGGTGGGTCGATCAATTGTCCACAAAAGGTGGCAAAAAGACCCCCCATGTTAGGAGAGGGTTTGGCTATGCGATTTGATTTGCATGGTGAGGGCTCCAAAGACTTGTGTATCAACATCTTGGCAGAACCAATGGACCAAAAGGGCACTGCTCACTGGGCCGAACCGAGCGGGGGGCTGGTTTTTGAGCCGCGCGCGGAGGCTGAAGCAATGGGTTTAGAGTTGCTGTGTAAAGCACAGTCAAATGGGTCGAGGCAATCATTTGTTCTTGTGAGGGTATGTGTTTCAAGGGTTTTTCAGAGCTCCCTATTTTGATGCATATGGATTTAGGGCATGTGGGAACTAGGTTGCTGAGATCAACCATGGGTTGAACGTTGGCTAAGTGTCAAAGCATTCCCCGAGGCAAGCGCCTGGTTTGCAGCGATCTCGCGGGCCCACGATGCAGTGACAGGGCAAGGGGTAAGCTTTCTCTGGTATGTTGGAGGTCTTCCGGCCCTGCCCAATGGCAAGTCATAAAGCAACGGGGAGCCAGCCATGTAAGCCACCTGCATATGGCCATGGGTCAAAAGCCAAATCGTACCCCCAGTGAACATGCCAATCCCAACTACAATAGACTAAAATGGGTGGTGCACCTACCCCAAAATGGTACCATTGGTTTTGACCCACAGCCATATTTTTGAGTGTCCTCGCCATCAAGCATCTGCTGTGTGGCTGAAAGTCAATGGTGCAGGTGACTGGCGGCCTGGCGTGTACATGCCCGAGCTTTTGGCAGAAGATGAGGCGAGTTGGGATGACATTCTTTTTATGAACCCGCCTTCAGCTATGAAAGAGGACACTTCCTTTTTGAGCACTCTCACGAATGGGTGTAAAACTTTACTGTGACTCAGCAGACATTGCAGTTCCTTGCATCCATGCAAGCGACTCCATGCCTGTTCAAAAAGCACGCGTGCGAAGCATGCATGATGAATCCCTCTGGGTGGGGAACTTGAGGGTTGATTTTCGCTTGTTTCGGGCTTCGAGTTCAACATGTGACAAAGTTACACTCCGCTGTGGTGTAATGATCCATCAGCTGTAGCTGAGAGTTGATTTGCTTTGCCTTTTTTTTTGGCCCGAGGCGGCGCGAGCAGAGCTACTGAAGCGTTTCTCCAGCACGGAGGGCACCATCTCCTGCGGCTTCAAGCTGACATCTGAGTCCCAGGAACGTTTGACAAAGGACTAAGCGGCGGCCGGAGGCGCTTCTCTCTGGACCCTGCGCGATTTATTCCCAAAAGCCCATGCTTGACTTGTGTGCACTTATGTGGCAGCGTGTTAAAGCCGGGTTCGTACATTGACAGTTGTCCATGCCTATCTCAAAGTGGGGACCCCACAAAAAGGTCGGCTGCCAAGCCCAAAAAGAGTATAGCAGTGAGAAACCCATGTGCCGATGTCCATCCTCTTGCCTCTCGGCTCGAAAGCAAAAAGGTCGGCGTGCAGAGCGCTGGGCAGGTCTTGCTAGGCTTCACGAGTGAGCAGGACATGGATAGCCATGTTGCAAAGCAGATTCGAGGTGTCCCTTGAGTTGCCCTAGTGACATTGCCCGTTTTCGATTAGAGTGTTGCACTCCGATTTTCTTCAGAGTTCTAGGGCTCGGATCCTTAGGGTCCATGAGGGAAAGTCAAAAATGCTCTGACTCTCATGGCAACAACTGCTCCTAGTCCCGAAAGTTGAAGCGTTTGCTTTGGACAGTTCACTTGATCAGTGGACGCCGATTCAGAGCAGGTGTCGACCACACGTTGAGGCTCCCATGAGTTTTTTTTTCCCAGCCTTTTGATTGGCCAGCTGTTGCCATCGAAACCAGGGGCCCACGAAACCACATGTTCTTCTCGATAGTCTGGGGGCCTTTGGTCAAGGATCCCTGCCCATCTTTTCAGACTGGCGGCGCATACTGGTTGCGCATTTCGCTGGCGCTCAGTTGCCACGTTCCGTCAGTGGCCGAAGTGTAATTTGTGTACCTCGCTCCAACCGGAGTTGAGACTGGGTGCCTCGTGTACTACGCCTTCACGGCAAAGCGTTGTTCCAGCTGTAGCTGGCCACATGCACTTTGCATGCCACACTTGTGCTGACGAGCTGTGATTGGAGCTGCCAAATTGTGCTTCCCAGCTTACTTTTGTACTGGTTCAAAAGGGTGCTTGTAGAAAATGGCTCCGCGAAAGCTACGCGATAGAGGCACCAGTTTTTTGTTTGGCTAAGAGCTCCATTCCCGGAACGAAGAGCTTGCGCCTATTTGTGTGTGCGAACCAAGCATGGTGGGAACTCACCTAGCGCTCGCCATTTTACATTTGATGCTTGTTGTTCGAGCCGAGCTCGGCGAGTTTCCAGACGGAGCCATACCTTCATGCGCAAACGCGCCAGCGAACACCGGCTTCAGGTGCGGACCCAGAGCAAGTCATGCCCATCCAAGGCGGGATTTCGGGGTGGTTGGGAGGTTGGAGCATTCGGAGCGTATCCTGTCACATGGATGTTCAGAATTCCCTTGCACGAGAGGAGACGGTGAGAGCTGGATTTTGGAGGCCTTGGGGCTTTTGAAGCCCAAGGCAAACTTTGGTCACTTTGGGAAGGCCTACTCCGTCCTCGGCACTTGTCACCAGGGAAGGTCGTGCGGGATCCTGCAACTGCCTTTTTCTTGGGCTTTGTATCGAGGGTTTGTAACCCAGCTTTTCCTGCGGGGGAGGAAAAAACAACAACAATAACTCCCCTGACCTTTTTTTCCTGCACTTGGGAGCTCCAGGAATGGATCATGGCGCGCAAAGGGAGTGGCGTTGGGCACCACACGCGCATTCCAATGGCTGCCGTTACGAGAAACTCTGAAACAAGAAATGCGCATTGTCCCTTTGCCAGCGCAGGCGCTCCAAAAGGGAGAGCATGTTTGAGGGGGTTCCCCTCTCAACTGGAATCAACCCCGAAAGGGTCACTGGTTGCAGTGAAGGCCAACTCTTTGGACTTGGAGCGCGTTCACCGAGCGCTCCCAATGCCGGCAAGTGGGTATGGGTCAAAACAAGGGGGCCCCCCAAATGGACTGTTTCTCTTTTGGCTTCCCTTGAAAACCAAAAGGGGGTTCATCAGGAAAGAGGAGATGAGGTTGCCCTGTCATCTTAGATGAAAAAGGAACACACCCCAAACGATGCGGTCGCTGCCAAGCCTATTCCTTGCCAGGGGAGGAGGTGACTCCGCTGCAAAGGGCTGTGCAGCTGGGCCCTCGGAAGCATAGGCGCCGCAATTTCCGGGGTTCAGAAACAAATTGAGCCACTTGCACATGGCCTGCTTCGACACAGTTTGCCTATAAGCAGAGGAGCTGCACCTGTTTCACATTGTGGAGCCGTCGCGTTTTGAACAGCACGCCTCCCATTGTGCTTGATGATGATGTGGATGGCCGAGCAGTCCGGATATCGGACGTCAGACAGGAGAAACAAAACCCCAGGGGCAATTGAGGGCCAAGCGTGCACATCGTACAAACAGAAGGGAGCCTTGTTAAAAGAGGCCCAAAAGTGGCCCATGTAATTGGACTTTGCACGATCTACAAGTCGTCCATGCGTTCCGACTGTCCAGCCGTTCTCTGAACATACCGCCATTTGATGCTGAGGCCACGCGTATTTGAGGCCCGTCATGTGAGGAGATTTCCCGCACGCTGCCGTGGATGGGGTACATCTCACGTGCTACGTGCCGAGGTATGGGGATCCTATGACCGTTCAACGCATCAAGCTCGCCATGGAGCAGGCTTCTAAGGACTCAGATCATATCTCAATGCAATGACGCTGGTTTCAGACGCTTGGCAGGTCATCACCCTGGCTTGGCAAGGAGGGCGCATAGGCATAGTACAAAAAAACCCTGCTCAATGCACCCCGGGCTCAGGTTCCACTGATCGAAAGGGGCCATGGAACGCGCTGACCAGTTGAGCCCTGTTTGGAGACAGGTGTCAACCTGAGCTCCAGGCAACCCTTCAGACAATACACGCATGTTCGCTGGCGAGATATCTATAGACGGGTATCGGAGGATCTGCCTCGCACAAGTAGAAACAAGTGCCAGTTCAATGGGTGGAATTTGTTCTGTAAGCAAGTGCCAGTTTCATATTTTTTGCCCGCTTCAACGAAGGGACTCTTGACCTGGACGTTATGTGTCCATCAGGTTGAGTCAAGCCAGCCCTTGCGGAGTGGGGGACAACTCCTGTCGCAGGCGGCGGAACTTCTAGGATGGCCACGTTTTTGTTTTATAGCCGTTGAGGTGAACTGGCGCGGGTTTTATTTTCAACAGTAAGCTGTCAGCAAGGGCAGTAAGCTGGCGTTTGTGAGGAGCCGCCACTGATCATCCTCCCAGATGTGGATGCAAGGATGGAGGACGCATGGGGGTGTCGCCAAACTTTTCATGAGAGAGTATCGAATATGATTGAGTCTACCTGTGTACCTGGGTCAAGCTGACATGAGCAAGTTGTTTTCTGCTTACTCTAAGACTGATACAAGCGGTGCTGCAGCAGGTATTTGCGTTCGGAACATGGAAAGGGTAGCTTATCATTTGAGTGACATTTGCAGTTCGCGAACTGCACTCAGATTCAGATAGCCTTGGCGCATCTTTTTCGGCTGCGACACCATATCCTGTAGCGATTTAGCCGTTTAGCTCGCTCTCATCCGCGAGAGTAGCATGTGGCCGCTACCCGCCCTGCGACCTATGTATTCACACATATACCAGAAACACGTGTGCATCTATGCGCTTTTCCCAAGACCCAGGGATGCCTGATACTACACATGCATTGATTCGTCCTCAGCCCCCCCTCCCCCTCCTTTTATTCTGCCTCACGGTGTCCTGAGCAGTGCTTTGCCCTTCTCATTCTGCTGCGCAGCGTCGGCAAAGTGGGTTCTTCCAAATTATTTGAATGGAGCTGCTTCAGGAGAGTCACTTTCCATTAAGATTCATCTTTGACCTCAGAGTTTATGCAATCCTAATCCTGTCTAGTCAGTTCTGTTCAGAACGCGAGCAGCGCGTCTTTGCAAGTTTCGGGCGTAAGCGTTAACAACTCCTCTCCACATAAACCAGGCTCATGGACTTTTGGGTTTCAAGCGAGAAGTGTCCCCCAAAAGCTTGTTTGGGTTCCTTCCGAAAAGCTGGGCCCAGCTCGATTCGGTTTTGGAGAGGTAGGCCCATTGTTGCAGGGCAACAAGCAGCAGAAGCTGCCGGTGGCCATCCTGTTTCCAGGCACGTCTGTCTCAAGGGCGGAAGCCCATCCCCTCCACATGGTTGTGAAGGGAAATCACATCAAAGGAATCTGGTGACAAGGTGGCATGGTGTAAATCAATGAATTGGAGGGATCCTTTTCAACACGGTTCACGTGTTGAAACTTCGGCACATGACGAGCTTCGGTTGAACATTGATCATGGTTAGGGGCCCCTTTTGGGTTGGTGAATTCACCGAAAATGGCCTGGTTGCGAGGTCAGGGCTCCCAGTACGTCAAGATGTTGGCCGAGGCTGGGCGAGCCTTGTCGCGTCATGGATTCACCGTTGGCGAACGTGTGCTGGTGGATTCACGTAGTTTGGTTTCTCCCTTTTGAACATGCGCGGGTAAAGCGCGTACTGCCGTTCACTTGCCTTCAGAGAAGGTCCGGTCCCGTTTGGTTGTGTTGGGGTTAGAGATGGCAGTCTGCGGCATGAGCAATCCCAGTCTTCAAAGGGTGAACAAGAACCAGCATTCAAATGGACGGACCGCCGATGGAGCGCTCTTAGTATTCCAATCCAATTTGTCCAGCCAGAGGATTGATTGGATTGTTTCATCATGCGAGTCACAACATGTTCACGGCTAGTGAGTATTATACACCGATCCGCTTGAGCTGTGTACACAATTCCCAGCTGGACACACAGTAACATCATCACCTCACCCCGAACTGGTGTGGATTGGTATTGGGATTTTCACCTTGATGAGAAGCCTCCCCAACCTCCAAACCACAATTGGGAGCAAGGGGGATATGGTGCCTGTAGGTCTCCAGCGTCAATGGTCTGTTTTGGCTCGCCGGCAATATTATGCCAGCAGCCTGCCGGACATGAAAAGGCTTCCCTCACGCGGAAACATGCTGCTTGAGGTTTAGCCCTCTCGCCTCTCCTGCATGCTGGCCAACCCCTGCCTCACTTGGCAGAAAACCATGCACCCTCCATGGAAACTTGCTCACCCCACGTGAATGCAACTAGAAGAATTCCACGGCACCGCAGACGTACGCATCTAAGAGGATCGTAATAGCTGCTTGCCAGATATTATTTTGCAATACCAATGTACACACATGCCGACGACCCAGGATCGTTGAAAGCTTTGAATGTTTTTGTCCCGGTGCGTCGTTTTCCGCCTCCAGGTCAAAGACCTAGAGCCATGCAAGCGCCTCATCGACAAGGCCAACAGCATTCTGGGGCCGGGTGCTCGAGTTGGCGCTGGGAAGTTGGGTTGCCACTTGCTACGTTCCTATGTATCGACCATCCCACATCCTTCTTTTTGAAAAAGCAAAAGAATGCGACATGTGCGTGAAGCAGCCATGCCTCTCATTCACAGGCGAGAAGAACATGTGAGGTTGCGCACAAAGGAGTGAGACCCTTGAAGCCTCGGATTCCCCGGTGGTTCCTTCGTTCTTTCGTTGCAGCCCCTGCGGCTCGAACTTGGCAGAGGGGCGTAAGGCTTTAGGGCAGCTTTGGTACCAGGTTGGTTCTGAAATTCACCACTCGTAGATCATTGAGTTGGTCAGCTGCAATGTTGATGCCATATTAATCAACCCCTGCTTATTAATAGGGGAGTGTCCCTGGGTTTAGTGGGGAATCATCACCTTTGTACGAGCCAGAGGAAACTGAAGCGAGCGATAGGTATGACCTCCTGGACCTGTGCTTGAACGGCCCTGAAGAGAAGCTCGAGGAGGGGGATTCCGGTGATGCCCGGGCTCCATGCGCACGTCGGGTACTGACTCTTTGAGGATTTTTTTGGTGCACATCAGAGAAAAGTATGGGCGTTATGCTCGCCAAACTTCGAGGGTGTTGAGATCAGAGCCAATTACTCCCTTCTAGGGCTAAACTGAACTGACACGTACCTTTTCAGTGGGTGCTCACCCTAAGCGCCCCTTGCGTGGAACCAAGGGGTCACCCACTAGGAGGAACGTCGCGAGTTTTGAGAGACACACCACAATGACGGGCAGGGTGTCCGAGTCGGTGGCAACTGATGCACAGGTGGGATGGCAATACACCATGTTCTGCGCCAATGTGGCGGTGGATGGATTTGAAGATATGTCTCACCTTAACCAAACAGACTGTTTTGCCCGCATTAAAGGGGAACCAGAAGGAGGTTGTTCCAACAAGAGCGGTTTAAACCTGTTTTTAACGGGTTGAATCACAGAGCTTTGATGCAGGAGACCAAGTTCTGCCAACCTGCCATGTTCCTGGCGAACTGCTGCGCGGTGGGAATCCCCGGGCTGCGTGAGTGCAGGCCTAGGTGCTTGGCCTTTTGCGACGCAAGCTATGAGCACCATTCGCATCTGTTTTCAGAAGTATGGACGGTGGAACGTATGTCAACATTCACCAAGCAAGCCTTTTGCGTCACTTGTCCAAAGGGCGGGGAACAAAGTCACTCGCTGCAGAGAAAGGAAAAAACATCTGAGCCGCAATCAAAACCTGGGTGAATGAAGGGTATTCAGTCACAGTCCCTGCCATAAATAGGTGGGGCCGCCTTTTCAATTCTTCATACGGTCTTGGGTAGACCACTTGAATTCCAGGTCTGATAGTGACTAAAGTTTACCAAAATTTTGGCAGGGACGAGAAGGACGAAATCTAAATGTCCCCCTGGGACCTCCCTCTTCGGACCCTAAGCGAGCGCCGGTGTTTCCCCCGTGTTTTCGGCGCCCAGTTGGAGAAGCTGCGCTTGGACCAGCCGGAGGTGGTGGAGAACTGCTCGGCCACCGCGGGGCTGTCCTTGGGCGAGTGCCCCCCCAACGCAAAGTCGGTCGAGTCGGTGCTGGGCTTGGAGCTTATGGAAATTGCAACACAAAGGGAGGGGTGCTCTGTCAAGGACCCACAGATGGCAGGAACCAGGTTGGTTCTCCAACCTTGGCGCAGGCTGCCCCTCGATTGTCCTATTGTGAGTTTAAAAAGAAACACGGGCTTCGGGAAACACCGGAGGTCTCAAGGGGCTGCATCTTGACAAATTTCCTCATTTCTGCTCGCGACGTCGGGGCTTGGCCTGAGCAAAACAAGTTCCTCAGCTCGGTTGAGGAACTCACAGGAGTTGGGGGTCATGTCACGGGCGGTGGTGGGTATGCGTCAAAGGGATGACTGGGACCCAAACGGCTTCGGTCCATTTGGTTGACCTTTCAACCCAACAAAACGGTACCGAGCCTCATAAACACATGTCTGGATGGGGCCGAATTCTTGCGGTTCTTGTTGGTTTCTCAGGCGAGGTTCGGTCAAACTGGCAGTCAATGGTTCATTTGGGGGGACGAGAAGGGGGAACTCACAAAAGCCAGCGGGGACTCGCTGATTTTCTCATGTTCTTTTTGCGAAAGCTCGGGTCATTTTGACTGTGGCTCAGGTACAACGCCATTTGGTTCTCCGGCATGCTGAGCTTTGAGGAATGCCTGAAAGTGGTCCGCGTCAGAGCTGATGCGATGCAGGAGGCGGGGCCGATTCGGACGGGCACGTACTTTGGTTGTTCAACATACTCAGTAAGTAGCTTAGAACCACGGTTTACAAGAGAACCTCCTTTTACCCCACTTACACCTTATGACCATAGTTGCAAGCCACTTGTAAGATTGAGCAGCCAAGCAACAAACATCTGCGCACATCCACACTGGTGCAAAGATACAGGCCCAAATGGAGCAAACTGGAAGGCGCTTGCTTGAGTCGTTTCTGCTCTTGCGGAAGGCTTGGGATCCTGTTGAATGCTGCAGTTGATGCGGGCTCGGTGACTTTGCATCACCTTGCACAAGGACTCTTGCCACAGTTCTGCCACTTGGTATCAGATGATGTTCACCAGCAGTCTATTTGGGGGAAAAGGAAGTGAACGGGGATTCTTCGCGAGTCCCTGGTGCAGAGTGCTTGCGCAAGGGTCGGCTTTTTGTTTGAACACCAGCTCAGGACCATGCACCTTGCCAATAGGGTGCCTGTGGCTCCGACAAAACCGAACTTTTCTTGACTTCCACGCAACAAGTTGACTCTACTTCAAGCAATCGCAATGAAGGCGTTGTGCAATGCGTTTCCATTCAGCTTTTCCTGAGATCTGGCTGTGGGTCAAAACCAATGGTATCCCATTTTGGGGTAGGTGAATTCACCACCCATTTTAGAACTGATTTTAGTGGTTGGATTGGGATGTTCTCTGGGGCTACGATTTGGATTTTGACACACGGCCATTTGGGAGATTCGGCCCGAGAATTCCCAGTCTCAAGTTGGCCCGGCCCAGGAGTCCACGCGGGCCCCGCAGGCTCGGACGGGGGCCAGGATGTTTCGGCTGAACCTTGCGCTGGCGTCACCATGAGCGTCGGGATGGGGCTTCGTAGCAGGCGCAGACTGCGCCTGCCGGTCCTCATAGGTCCTTACAGGTCCTCACAGCTCGCTCTTCTTTTGCGCGAGGCTCCAATCGTAGGAAGTCAAGCACCGGTAGCTTGTCCCCCCAGTTTGGCTTTGCTTTGTTGTCGGCATTGGACGACATTTGGATTTGGGTCTAACTGGTGACCCCATTTGGTTGGTTGTCACAAAAAGATACCAATGACAAACCAGCCGTTTTCGGGGCACACTATTTTTGTAGAAACACCCATTTTGTTGCGTACCTCTAGGAAGTTTTATGGTGAAGGGCTTAAACAGTGATGTACTTCGTGACATACGAGTCACTGATACCATTGGCAGTCTACTCTTGGTTTGGGAAATCCCCTGGTTCTCCCAGAACCAGAATGGCAACCCATATGCTCAGTTCGTTCCCTCGGCTCACGACGCTTTGAACTGACCGTTGGACACTTTTGCTTGCCTTCAGACTGCCTTGGTAGCGCCCTTTTGGTTTGGTTTGGTTCAGATGTTTGAACACCAGAAGGAGTCCGACCACAATGTTCCACTTGGATCACTCGGATGCCATTCGTCAGGCTATGATCTCGGTCGCGGGATTGGACCTCCAGGCTCGTGGTGCTTGTGGCAACGAGTGTTCGAGGCCAACATAGCTGAAATAAGGTGACCAGTTTCTGTCAAAGTTTCCTGATTCTACGCTCCATTTGGGGAGTGTGGAACCATTTCAACCACAAAATCACTTACGCCGGCTGGCCCTTCGATATCCGCTTCGAGGGTAAGAGCCACGATTTCCTCTGAACTAGGTTGGGATGCGTGGAATGGTTTGCCTCGGAAGCCTGGCCACGGAGCAGTAGAAAGTGAAGCCTGTGGCGTGCGGCCCATCGGTGACTCGCGCAGGTGTTGGAAGGTCTTTGCGAGAAGGCTGCCAGGCATCGGAGACATCGGAGACTGGGAGATGTGGGCAACGCACGGGCCAGGTGATCTCTAGCTCCACGGTGTTGTCAAACCGGGTGGACGTTGAAATGCCAGGCCAAGCCAACCAGCATGTAATACTTGAACACCTCCCATCTCAGAGCGAAAATGAGTGTTTTCCGCATGGCTGGGACGACAGGATGCCCTCCGACATTTGGAGGGTTGCTGTTTATGACACAGCATTTCAGAAGGCATGTGGAGGTCTGACGTGGCAAGGCTCAGCTTGGAGTGACAATAATTAAGCTGCAGGAAGGTTCAACGAAGACAGTATCCTGAATTCTGCTGTTGCTATGGCTTGCAACAGGTTCTGGGCTCTTGAAAACGCAGCTGTTCGTGCTGTTGGTCCTTATTCATACTGTTATGTTTGACCCATCTGTTCCTGTGGATTGCTTGGGCCGTAGGGTCATTTGATGTGCAGATTGTTCAAGACAATCATTTTTCCCCACGGAGCTTTCGTTTTTCTTGGGTCTTGGGCATGTCCTACAACAGACGGCGCACATGTCCGGGGTGAGGCCAAGCTTGCAGAGCATGATTGAACCTACCGGCCACGCCAGTCGACGCTTCGTGAGAAGTTGGAAGCTTGGTCGAAGCGTGCCCGAGATGCAAATGAACACGGAGTGTGCCCTTGCCACACTTAGAGCTTGAAGCGCAAGGCCCAAACTTCCCAAATCAAAGCTCCGTGTAGGATCCAAGTGCACTTGCAGCGCTCTTGCATCGATTCCGCCAGGCAGGTTGGCGAGATCGCAGATCGAGAAGCGGTGTGCAAGGCCGTCCCGAAAAAGCCGAAGGGTGGGTTTAACTTGGGCAAGTCTCAAGGTCCTGGCTGGTCTGAGTCAACAGTAGAAAAAAACAGAGGCGAAACGGAGACAGCGGGACTCTGCCTGAGCGTTGTGTATTTTTCCAAGGGACACACAGGTTGGCAGATCTTGCCTCACAGTACTGGAGGCCAGACACGTTGGACTCTGTAACTGTGGATGCAGCTGGCCAAATCAGCGGGGTATAGGCCTTCATGGGCCATGAAGCAGCGAGCAGGGGGTTGCGAGCACCATGCAGGCATCACGATTGGAAGGCGTTTTTTTTTTTCAGACTTACTGCAAAGGCCGCAACTATCTCTACGTCTACATGATGGTTAACTCGGCCCATGCTTAGCCCCCCACGAGCGATCGCCGTGGAGGCCATATTTGGGAAATTTTGGGCGGGCCTTTTGTTGGTGTCCACGGCACACCGAAAGGACACAAAGGGGTATGGGTCAAAATTGAGCCACCAGGGGACTGCAGGTTTTGGTCCATGTTTCTGTTTACCAGGGTTCCATTTTGGGTACGTATTTTTGACCGCATTTCGATGTGCCCCAACCTTGTGTTTGATCTCTCTAAGGCTCTGGGGGGAGCTTCCCCATGCTTTTCAGGGATGCGGCAAACCGGCAATGACCTTGGTAAACCGGCTCGTTTGTGAAAACCCCTATATGAATTGCAACCATCTTAGAGCCAAAAGGCAGCGAATTGGTTTTGGTCTTGGTCGCTCAGCTGCTCGCGCGAGAGGTGGCGAACCACCTTTTCCCCAAGGGCTACACCTGTTCCGGCGACAAGCCGGCTGTAGAGAAGCTGAAAGGCGCGGAGGAAGTCGTGTAGAGAATCAGAGTCCGTGTCCCAGAAATGGGTAGGTTTCTCTTCAAACCTAGCTGATTTTACGGTGTCCAAAAAGAGTAGCCATCCAAATAGTGGGCAGCCAGGAGTCATGCACTGATCAAACAAGGAGCATCCCATTTAAGAGAAAGTTCGTCCCTTTCGGGGGGAACATTCTTAAATCCCCCAGGTGGATTTATCCGGAGGGTACGACTTTTTTTGTGGCAGACGTGTTTTGGCCTTGGATCCCTTGCATTGGGGTTAGGTGGGCTGTCTGGCCAATGCAAGGACTTGACACTTAGAGGGCTCGAGTCTTGTGATGAAGCTGCTGCCTTTGCATGCGAAGGGGGGAAGGGTTGGCAGCAGCAACCCAGAAGCTGGAGGTCAGTGATTACGAGCCGCTTGTCAGAGCATCTGAGAAGAATTTCCGGGAGAGTGCACAAACAAAGCGTGGATTTGGTTCTGTCTGAGTCCGCATGGGTAGTGGTGCAGTTAAGGCGCCAAGAATCAGGTCATAAGAACCTCACCGGACTGTGAGCCTCACCGGACTGTGCAGTTGTTGACAACAAGGCCTCACGTATACGCGTGCGCGGCGGCACTTGGATTCCTGGATGCAATATGTCAACAGGGTCGCCCAGCATTACAGCAAGAGGCCTGGTCAGGTGTGTCGGCAGTTCACCCCGCAAAAGGTCGGAAGATGCGGGCCGTGAGCTGCTGGGGTATGTGTTTCAACGCGTTCACCAAGACAAGGCCACCGTAGATGACGCTTTGACAAGTGTGGAGCACGAGGATTTCTTTAGGCGCTCTCAGACTCTCTGGCTCCACGCCCCAAACTTCTGTTGAAAGAGCCCAGCAACAATATCTGCGAGACAAGCGAGCGGGGCAAATTAATTTTGACGCACCCGGCCCGAAGCGTCGTAAAACATTTGTTGGTGCCAATTTGCCAAAGCAAGACGCACGGTGACGGATGCAATGTTGAGTGACTATCTGTCAGAACCAAAAGCAGACTTGCAGAGGACCCCACGGCGTCGCAAATGCCTGTTATCGCAGCAAGCAGCTCACCGCTTGCTAGTCAGTTGCCGAGTAGTGTTGACGCTGCAGATGTGACTGCAACACAGCGAGCCACGAGTGTGCCTTGCCCAGCACTGGTTTTCCAATTGCTGACGGAGGAGATTGTTTTTCGCCCGCAGATTGGCGTGCTCCGCGCACTGCGAAAGACACCTTTCTCCTGTTGCGTAAGCGGTTTGAACAGTTGGCTGCAGTGGAATCTGGCGCAGCGTCTGCGCGCACGCCTGAACGCGTGCAGCGTGACGATCAAGTTTCGCTAGGCACGCTGAGCTGCTCGCTTTCTTGCGCGGTTGTGGTGTTGCGTGTTCGGGTCAGGCGCCTGTGTGTCAGCGTGTTCTCCCAGCTTGCGAAGCCATTATTCCCAGCAAGGGTGTGCGCGTGCTGAATTCTGGCCTCAGGTGTTTGGAGGTCCCTTTTGCGGGCAGAGCGCGTAGAAGAGCCAGTGCGTCCTGGCATGGGCAGAGCGCGTAGAAGAGCATGAGCTCCTCATTCATCCGGAGCCATGGCCGAACCCAGAAGAAATGCGGGATGGAGTTGGCTGGAGGCGAAGCCGAAGCACAGTGGGGGGATGGTGTTGCAGAAGCCTCGCCCAGTGGGTGATGCGCACTTCCATGTCTTGTCTGTCCCAACAGAGTCTACAAACTTTGCTTAGTCGCAGGTGTCTCGTGTTTTGGAGGGGGTTGGCACGCGTGCCGCTCATGCTTTTTTGGCTGTAATAGCCACGTTGTGGTTTGCGCGCGTGGTTCTCAGGTATACGTTGATGATGGGCTAGCTAGCCATGCTGCCCTCTGATTTGGTTTCAGAGGCATCGCTGTTCCGCTGACCTGGGAGAAAGTACGCCTTGTTGTCGAAGTCGCTTGGAATGGCTGGCAGAGCTCGCTCCTAAAATGCATTGTTTCCGCGCTGGAAATTGCCCTTGCTCGAAAAATGGAGCGCTGACAAAGCATGTGTGGAACGGTTGGTCGAGCAAGCGACAGGCATGATGCTGTGGTTTGCGAACGGGGCAGCCGTGTTTGGAGTGTGTGGAGCCCCTCTTCCGCATAAGCTGCGGGCAAACCTGGTCGCGCTGGCTGAGATCGTCTTAACGCTTGCCGCGAAAATGATTGTGACAAGCGCCCCGTGTGCAAGTTTGCTGGCGCTTGCGTTCTGCCAACAAGGATCCTGTGTCAAGCGTTGTCTGCGCAGCATTGCGGGTACCACGAGTGCGACGCAGTAAGCCTTGTTTGCATGGATCCGTCCAAACTTCACGACCACATACGCTCGGTCATCCTGGGCAGCGCAGTTGTAATGCCATGCCTTACGAGCGGGTTGCCGTCCCGTTGTGCGAGATAGTGGCAACGTGATCTGCGCCGCGCGACCGAGACTACAGCAATTGACGCGCGCAGATCTGCCCGAGTCGTTCCGTACAGCCGAACCCACCCACAAGCTTGGGTGACGCACGCTAGAACTTTTGCAGCCGTGTGATAGCCAGGGAAGTACGCACGAAGCAACCACTTTGCTTTGTCCTACAGGCGTCAGGTTTCTTTTGCTACAAGAAAGGCACGCAGTTAAGTTGAATGCGCGTCGCCGGCGAACGTTACACTTGGGCTGGCTTGCTAAGCCCTGGCCAGCCTGTGCCGCGCATGCTTCCGTGCAACAAGCGATCGCTTTTGTGGCGTGCGCCATGGGGCAGCCCTACAGCCCGTGAATTCTGGAAAGCAGTTGGGGTTAGTGGCCCCTGCGTCCTGCCTGCTGTGCACGCAGTTGCCTTGGGTTTTTTTGTGCCACGTTTCATTGCTAGGAAAAGAAGAGAGCTTTTTGAGTGTTTTATTATTGGGGTAGGTGGGCTGTCTGGCCAATGCAAGGACTTGACACTTAGAGGGCCCGAGTCTTGTGATGAAGCTGCTGCCTTTGCATGTGAAGCGGGGAAGGGGTGCCCTGACATGATGTGTGTCGTCCCATGCGGATGAGGGTCGGTGGCCCCTTCCTCTTGCTGCATGCAGCTGGCTTGCACTTATCGTCGAAAGGCAAAGAAGAGAGCTTTTTGAGTGTTTGGGGAAAGCGATGACGGGTGGTCTGGGGCAGCTACGAGGGTTCAAGCGGAGGGTTCCAGGGTTCCGGCGCTGTTGGGGATACCACCTTGGTTTTTGTTGCGGACGAACTCTGTTTGAGCAATGCAACAAAGGTCGGATGGCTCTATCCTTGCGCCCATTGCATACAGAGCCTACGAAGGTGTGTTGTTTTATGGCAGGGTTTGGCAATTGAGCTATGCTTGCGATCACTCCTTTCATTTCTTGCATTTGGGTGTCTAAGAAACGGTAGGCCGTTTTTTAGATGGGCTCAAAGGAATCCAAAAAGATTCCTACGACGTGGAGGGTTAGTTTGTTTTTCTGGGGGTTTAAAGGGAGAACCAGAAGCCACCTATCACTTATCTGGGCACAGATTAGCGAATTTCAGGCTCAGAAACCCTGCAGGTCTTTGCGAGCAGGAGGGTGCGCTGCAGGCTCGGTATTTGAAGACCTCCGGCGCCAGAGCCCGAGGTTGCCTCTGCGATAATCCCCTTTCCTTGTATCCTGGACGGGGTTCCCTTTGAAATCCACGGAAGGAAAAGGATCGTTTCAAAGGGTTTCCGCGTCCGCCTTTTTCTTTGGAGGGTTGCATTGAACAATCAACCATTTGGCACTTTGTTCTTCCCTTTTTCGGAGGGGAGGAACCCTTTAGAGTCAGCTAGCGTGCCAGGGATCTGTTGTTTCTTGTCGGATGTGACTGGCAGTGACTCAAAGAATGCAACGCTTTTTGATCGCCCTTGACCCTTCATGGCAAACTTCGAACCCCCCTCAAGATCCACAGAGTATCGATGAGCCCAAAGTGTGGCCCAGGCCTTTCACACTTCGTTGATGGAGCCCGCAGGCGAGATGGACGCACTGCGGTTGAAAGATGAGGTTCTACCGGGCTTAAGCTTCAAATTGATGTTTTGATCCCAAAGCCAGGCGTTTTGAAGCCTGGAACTTCCTTCTTGTTGGACAGCTTGGAAGGCTTTCTCATTTGCTGGACTTGGTAGGTGATTGTTTTCTTGAGAAAGCTTTACTTAGTCCACATAGACCAGCAGACGCACACACACACACAACACACACACACACTCACACACTGCGATATATATTCAAGACGAGAGCCGGCAGTCTGATGCCTGGCATGTAAAAGCACGCGCCTGTACTTCCTCTGCCAGTAGCGAGCCGTAGCAGTTTGTATCACTTCACATGAGCCTGTGTTCAGCGTGGCAAGCATCCAGAATTCTGCTCCAGGCGACTCGTCTCAACGGTCAAAGCTGAAGCATGGGAAGAGCTAGGGACCATGATTCTGATGATGGCTTCGTGCCTCTCACTTGCTTCATCCATTGTGCTTCATTCCTTGCGCCTCATTCACGAGGGTCGGAGTGAGGATCCCAAACACAGTTCTCGCTCATCCTTGCAGTGACTGCCTGGAACAGCACAGGGAGTTTTCGCTTCCGGATTCGACTACAGCTCGGCCCTTCCGCTTTTGTGATCTTTGCATCGCCCCAACATCGTCTCTTCTGCCCTCAACCCTGAGTTCTCAACCGACTTGGATTTTATGAAGCAATACTCAAGCCCAAAGGTTTTTCTAAGATTGGTTTCCTTTGGCTGAAACAACTGACTAAATAAACTGACTGAATTGGTTTCCTTGGCTTCCGGCGATACAGGCGTGAAGCTCCTCAAGGCTTTGCGGGTCCGCGTCACGGACATGAGCTTCCCAAGGGTGGATGCCGCTTGGCGAACTCCAGGCGTTGGGGGTGTGGGTGTTCCTCTCAAAATGCCGTGGGTGGTCGCTTCCCATCACTTGGGATGAGCCGCGATGAATTCCGGGGCAAACCACGTACCAGCTGCATATTTTTTGCCCATCCACTTGACTTCCTTTTGTACCTGAAAAAACCACTCGAAGAGGGGTCCACTATTGTCAGAAGCCCTCGTGAGGTCCAGTCAACATTTCCAGATTTGACTATGGTCTTGGGAGGGACGAGAAGGACGCCCTGCTTTTCCCATGTGCTCTCTTGGGAAAAGTCAAAATGTGACCAGCTCGGTACCCTTTTCCACCTTGGCTTGAAATCAAAAGGACCATTCATTTTGAGCTCGTAGCCCTAGTTTGACACGCACCCATATAAACTGATCCAATGACTCCCCCACCAACCTTGCTTTTGAAAGGCGAACTCTTTCCTCTTGAAGCGTCTTGTGCCCCAAACTGTTTGTGGGAGGGTACAGATATTTCGTTGGACGTACGGATTTTGTCTTACAAACTTGAGTTTCTATATCAGGGCTCCTTAAAAGATACATTTTGCCCATTTGTATAGTGTAAGGATCCCTGTATATGTTTCTATTACTTTCTGGGTCTTTTTCGTCCCAGCTCGAACTGATGTCCTGTTTGCCTGGGTGTAACCAGAGGACAGAATGGGAAAGAAATCCTGGTCTCAAAGCAATGCCTGTCAGATTGAAGGCCAAAGCAGTCGACCAATGTCCAAAGTCTGGTTTGCCTGACCTGTCTCTCTCTCTCTCTCTCTCTCCCTCTCTCTCTCTCTCTCTGTCTCTTTCTGTCTCTCTCTGTCTCTCTCTCTCTCTCTCTCTCTGTCTCTCGCTCTCGCTCGCTCGCGCAAGCGCGGGCGCAGCACCTAGCCCCTGGCTGAGGTCTACATGAACGTTCGGGGTGCACCCCAACGTGCTGGCACAGATCCGCGAGAGATCAACTACGACCTGGCAGCACAGGCGGATGGATCGATGTTAGCCGAAGGTTGGGACTCCGTGCAGGGGAAACGAGGGACCCCCGGCGTTGAAGCCATTCTCTCCTTGATGTTTTGCGAAACCTTGACATCAATTGAGCAACTCGCGAGAACCCTTTTCAGGCTTGGTTTAAAGGGAGCCAAAACGGAAAGCACTGCCTTTCTTTGTCATGGCATTGCCTCCAACAATCCGGTGAGCACATGTGCCATGGCGTTGCGAAAACGTTCCCAGAACATGGACCTATAGCACCGCTTGAAGCGTTGCGGGGCCACGTTGCAAAGAATGGGTGAAGACCATGGCTGCTGCATGGGAGCTTCATCATTTGGAAGCCTTGCACTTTGCTCAAGGCCAGGAGCATGATCAGGAGAGGAGAGGCAACCAGGCACCTTGCTGCATGTCACTGGAAAATCAAGAAACAGCCCACGCAGGCATGTCCGTATGGTGCTGTGGATGTCCTAGATGAAAGGCTTGAGCAGCGCCCCAAACCCCTATTGGCTATTCTTGGTGGTTCTACTACCAGGTTCAATTACGGCATTGTTACCATGATTTAGGCACTAGAGTGATTGCATCCTCGTTCAGTGCCGTGATTCTTCGATTCTTTGCGGTTTCCCCATCTTGTCAGCCGCAAGGTCTCCAACCCGGTGCTTTGGTCGTCGAGCATCCAGGATCCGAGGGTCCGCGCCAGCGGGAGCTTAGACCCAGGGAGCTGTGACCAGGGACATAAACCCCCCAACATGTGTCCACCAAAGGGCCCCCATTTTAATCTCATATCCACATGTCGTACAAGGATGCTAGCAAGAAATGTAGATATCGATTTCGGTCTCGGGCTGTCGGGATTTGTCCTTTCTCCGATCGCAGGCTGCAAGGAAGTGTGGCAGAGCAGAGTGTGAGTCGTAGGAGATGAGGAAGAATGGTATCACCGACTTTTATGAGTGCGGCCCCATGAAGCAGTTGAAGGCGGGGGTGGGCTGTGTTGAAGGGAAGGACATTTGAATGCCCACCTTGATAAGAAAGCACTTCGGCAACTTTTGGACCGGATTGCATCAGATCCTGATTCCCAGTCTAGGAAGGGTGCCTTGTGCTCAGGATGTCTTGCACTATGGATTGGTCACAAGGAAGCGATGATCCTGTGCGTGTCATTGGTTTGCAGGTCGCCGAGTGAACATGGGGTATTTTTTAGCAAGCCTGTCCGATCCTGATTCGAATCGGAAAGAGGCAGTGATCTCAGTGGACCTTAGAGTCGCAGAGCGGAAGGGCCTTGTGAACCCAAAGGCAGAGGGTCAAGTGCTCCCACGTGCCTTGCGAGGCAATGATGAAGCGCATCAGCCAGGACTGCCGTGTTTTAGGTTGTCGGCCGTGAATCATGGCGTTCCACGCCTGTGCAATGCCAGGAATCCATGTTGGGGTGGCTTGAGCGGAAAACAAAGGCAAACTACAACTTGTGCGTGCCCAGCATTTTTCTTGTGGCGCAATTGGGTCAGGGTCTTCACCCCGAATCTTTGCTGATGAGCTGCAAGACTGTACAGCCAGTCCTTCCAAGACCATCTTTGTCGCTCTTGCTGATGCCGGCTACTTAAGAGACTGCTGGTCCACAGAGCTTTCGCTTGACAAATGGTAGATGTGACCCTAATTCCCATCATTAGCGAGGACTCACCAGCGGGAACGTGAAGAGTGAAGCATTGATAAGTACTACTTGTCTCATTGCATAGTCCTTCTTTGGAATGATGCTTGACAGCTACAGCTCTCTTTGTTCCATGAAAGTACTCTGGAGGTTGTTGCGCTCTGATCAGCAGAACAGGGCTAGGGTCGTCTTTCACCTGTCGACATCTGTTGCTTGGTACACCTTGTGAACAGGAACCAAAAAGGCACCACCCATCTCTGAAACACACCCACACAGCTACAGACACATTTTCTCTTGAGATCATTTTCTTCAACTTGGACTTGCATTCCAGGAGGCGTGGGAGAAAACCACCAGCGTGCCAGTATGAGTTTGCGGCAAAGCGCTGGACATGTACATAGCAGTGAATGGCGGACCCCCGGAAAAATGACATAGCCAGCCTGGGTGACAGGCATGATGCATGCTCAGAGTTCCTTTTAGAGCTTGGAAGGATATTATCGGGCTGGCGCACTGGTCAAGGGACAATTTGACGTGGTTTACAGCAGAGTTTTAGGGAGTGATAGGTCATTGCTATTCGCTGTGATCAATCTGCCTTTGCCAACAGAAGGTAAGAAAAACAGCTTGCTCTTCATAGCTTGTGTTTGTAAAGCAGCCTGCAATTTGTGGTGCTCTGAGAACAGATGCATGAAGCTTTAGACTTTAACTTTTTGGATTCTCCTAATACTTCCTTTTAGCCAGCAACAAGCTAAACTTTTTACTGTGGGATCTACAGCACCCAAGAGTTGGGGATGGGCGTGCTTGCCATCGTCCGCTTTTGGGCGGAATGGCACCCTGGATAGTCGGATAGAGATCTGTGAGATCTACTCGATCCACCCCAACTCTGACGCCGCGACAGCTCAGCATGCGGCACAAGACCTAGATGGAGGGCCCTTGCAGGCAGTCGCCGAGCATCAGGCAACGAAGGTTATTGTTTGGGGTCTGTGAGGAAGTACCTCTCATTTGGCAGGTGCTTGGAGCAAGCCAACCTTCTTATTTGCGATACAGCGGCGCCGCTCCCGCCAGCTTCATCAGCTTTGCTCCAACCACAAGGGTAGCCAATTGGTCGTGTCTCCTTTTGTTTCCTTTCCCCCGCCAACTTTTCCACCCTAATGGGGGTCCAATATGGGCAACCTTGCAGCTTAACACACAAGCAGTCGGAGACACCGCGCCGGGAGACGCGGAGACGCCGAAGCTTTCGCGCGGGAAGCCATGCTTTGTGCGGGGGCCCGGGTATCGACCGCAGATTGCACCCTGGCCGCTGCTATCCATTTGAATGGATGTGACACAGGGCATGTTGATTTCTGATTCAAACTCCCATCCCCACTTCTTTCCAGTACGCTGATGCAGGACGGTTCATTCATCAGGGTCAACACTTGGGTGTGTTTTGTGAGGGAAGCCACAGGACAGGCAGCAAGCACATCTTCTTGGTGTTCCAATATTTTGCGACAAGCCCCATGCCTTCACAGGCCAGCGCCTGGTGCCGTTGCTGCGGCCGACTCCGTGGGCCCATGTCTCAGCGATGCCGGGCGAGAGGCCCTTCATGGTCCCCTATGGTTGGTGTCCTGTGGAGGTCCATTTGGAGAACCCACAAGGCTGAATGTTTACTGTCATCGAGTCATCTACTGTATGTTGGGGTCATTCACACTGTCATTGGGCACACTCACCAGGGGATAAGTAGTGATGCGTGCCTCACAAAGAGGTGAGAGGTGGCAACCAGGGCATCGGTTTTGTGTGGCCCCGGATGAAATCCAGCCTGCGTGCTACGTGACCCTCGTTTGTGGGAGGGCAAGATTAATTGGGCTCCATGAGTTGAGGCATCGGTCTGCATGGAGATTTGCCTACAGCCCCGATATGCAAACGGAAACCTTGCGTGGGCTGACAAGCACAACTTTTTTGTGGATTCTGTTTTCCGAAGGTCCGATGTAGCACTCTGTTTGAAAGAGCCTTCACAAAAAGTAGCACATGTGCGGTCTAGACAGCATTTGGGCTACTGGAGGCTTGCATGATGGGCAGAGTCCATCGTGATTCGAAATCGGTGCGCCATTTATTGAGGGTGCCCGTTTTGGGGTGGTGTTCAATGGAAACCAAATGGAATCCAGCCTTTTTGGCGGTCTAACCTGACGTTCCGAAGGAAAGCAGCCGATTTCTTCCAGTGCCTGTGGATGTTTTCACCCCCTGCCCGGAAGTTTCTTGGGCTGCGCAAGCGGAACGCAAGGTGCCTTTGGGGCTTCGTCGCGCACTTGGGGCTGACTTCAGTGAGTGATGGCGTGTTCACAGGATCTTAGGGGTGAACCGGGTAGAACCACTTGTAGTCTTGGAGATCCACTAGCTAGTCTCAAGGTTCATGATTGGTGTCCGGATGTACACTCACAGTCTGATCATTTTTTTGTGCAGCAGTAAAAGTCTTGAAGCAAATATGCTCTTTGGTCCATCAGTGGACATATGTTGGATGGCAGGGCTTTCTGGTTTCTTGCAATATTGCAGACTGCTGCTTCTCAGACTTGACTTGTCAGGGTCGAAGCTTCAAACCATCTCAACGCCACATGAGCCACCATCAAAACCCGGGTAGATGAAGGTTAGTAAGGGGCAGTCCCAGCCGGAAATAGCTGCGGCCGCCTTTCTAATTCTTTAAATGGTTCTGGGTCGACCATTTGAATACCGGGTTTTGATTCTGACTCACATGCGAAGCGGTCGCTGAAGCCGAATGTTTGAGCCGTAGAAGCAACCCCCGGAGCCCGACCCCCGCTTCTGTCAATGTTGCCCAACGGATGGCTTATTTCCATTGCTTGCCTATCTCAGCAAACGTGGCTGGAAGTGCTTGCCTTGCGGACAGCCTACAGATTGAAGAAGGCATTCATGTGAGCACTTGCTTGACCAAAAGGTGGACAACAGTGTCGGAGATGATCCAAAGCAACTGGTCCAAGTAGTCCAAAGGTAAAGTTGTTCCACAACAACACGTGACGCCACAACGGAAAAGCCTTAAAGTCCGCGTGGCTGTCCAAAGCGCAGATGTCAGGCAAGCAAGCTGCACGATCAAACTTCGATAGATCACCTTCCCGACGAACGGAGTGAGCCGGCACACACCCTAGAATCCCCGAGAGGCGGAAGCACGCGCCGGAACGCTTACCAGCTTGCCGTTCCGTCGTTTTCTTACGAGGACTCACCGAACACGTCTCCCGTTGCTCGGATTGAGACAGTTTTCACTGGATCAGCTTTGCGAGGCTGTGCCTTTGGCTGCGGCTGGGTTGGTTCATTTTTTGCCAGGCGGTTGGTTGGCGGGTCAGTGGGTCGGATGGATTTTGCTAATCTTTTAGCTACGGCAGGCTGAGTAAGTTGAGTGGTTGTTTTTCCCCAATGCGTGGCGAAGGGTTTCCGTTTACAAGTGGGGGGTCTGGGGGCGGAGGTCGTGCTCGCAACCGTCCGCAACCCGTCAAAAAAGTTAGATTCCGTAGCATGCACAACACAGCATGTTTTGATTCGTCGCAGGCTAGGTTTTTGGTGACAGGCGCCGCACTTTAGAGCTCTTTGTTCAAATTTCGTGCCAGGCGTAGCGCTTTAGAGCCTTTCGTGCAGATGGTGTCTGAGTGCAGATATCGTGGCAGGCGCGGTATTTTGGAGGGTTGCGCGCTCAAACTTTTTAGCAAGAGCAGCACTTTGACGCATGGCGCGCAGATAGCGTGGCGGCAGTGCTTTGGGACGGGCGGGTTTTGTGCAGCTTGCAAAGGCAAGGAACAACCAAGATTGTGTGCCAGAATGGCAAGGAGGAATTTGCCACCGCGCGTGTTGCTGCAATCTCTTCGTGATACGGCGCTTGGCGACCAGGTGCCTGCAGCATTTCTTTGTCGTCGCAGAAAGTGAGTCTCACACAGTTTGCCCAGAAATGTTACCCCAAGAGTCGCGAAGCAAATTGTGACGGTGCATCTTTTGGCAAGTAATCTGCGTTCGGGTTCGTGGCATCAGATTTCTCCTGAATTAATTAGTATAGGTGCTCATTCCTTTTCATCCCATTCGCTCGATGAACCTATTCCCTTTCACGACTTAAGGCACGAAGATCGTGGTTGATGAGAGTGCGCTGACGAAGCGCGTATGCAGGTAGGGATCCGTGGGGCAGTTGTTTCATATGACTGTTCCAGGGCAGGGCATGCTTTGCTGTATCATCGACTGCACGGAACACAGAATGCAGTGCTGCATTTCAAAAGACGCCCAGTTGTAGATGCAGGATGGTTGGGCAACATTTGTTCAAACAACCCGCGGGGACCAAACATAGATTGTTCAAACAACAGTGGTCTAAAACATGTCGAAGCAGGTAAGTTGGCCCCACCATGGTTTGCAGTATGGGATCATGAAGTCTGCCCACTTTTCCGGCCAGGCAGCTTGTTGGTGATCTGCAATGATCGGATCTTGCCTTGTTATGATCAGGGTTCCTACCCTACTATGGCCTTGCTCTGTACAGCAGTCCTCTTGCTTGAGCAATGTTGAGGAAAGCTGATGTTCTGCAAGCTTGCCACCATTCTTCGCACCCAAATATGCTTGACAGCACAATGCTCTGGATTCAGCAGGTTTGTTGAACATCATGTGTTTTTAGCCCCTTCTTATTGCAGTCAGGATGCAAGCGTGGCAGGCTGTCCTACTGCAAGATCATAGGGGACAAACAAGACTCGAATGAGAGTCGAAGCGCATATTTGTGTAATTGCATCAGACAGGTTGAGATTGTCAAATGAGAGCTGCATCCAAAAGCGTGAAACCTGATCTGGGCAAAAAACAACACCAGATGGGAACAGCAGAAACTCATGGGTGGGATGAGCCCACATTGTCCTGGCCAAAAGCCAACGACAGCATCTTGCGCAAAGATGAGCCTTGAAACGCTTGGGAGGATGTTCGCGAACGAAGAACAACCCAGCAAGTCAGGCACCATTAAACAACAACACGTGGCCTTGACAATACTCTTGCTGTTCACATTTCTTGCGCTTGGCCTGCGTTTTCGAAATACGACAACGCGCGAGTGGGCCACTTTCAATCCCTACTCAGGAATCAGACAGAAGCGTGCTGTCACAATTTCTCTACCCCCGTATTTAGGGTGCAGCAGCACACCGTTTGGAGTGCACCTTGTGGACCGTGTAACTCCTTGCAGGTCCTCCGGACCGGGTGGCCAGAGTGTCAACACCGCGGACACCCGCGTGCAGATGAGCTTTAGGTGCCGCGCCGGGTTCGAATGGCAATCCGGGAAACTGAGATTTGATAAGCCAGATCATGGAGCACCAGCTGGAGGCTTGGCAAGGAACTGCTTCTTTCAGCTCAGACAAGAACAAAATGGGGGCCTGTTACAGTGGTATGGTGCAGGCTTGAGGGGGGAAGGAGATCAATTGTCAGATGCGCAGCCCTAGGTTGAAGCCAAGTGGAAGACCCGTGCGTTATGGCGCTGTCAGCTCCCACGATCTAAGATTTAGTCTGCTCTAGCAAAGCAAGATGGGCCAACAAATCCATGACAGCTAGCAACTTCAAGCAACAGAGCAAAATATGCGAAATGTTCAAAGGTAGAGGTAGAGATGCTTCTTTGCACATTCGCTGGACACAAATGGTTTGTTGGCAGCGATGGAATTTGAATGTGACAGGCTTGACAAAGCGGACTGGATCCCGGAGAAAGTCTTCGCCTCAGCAAAGCTAGACAGAGCCAAAGTGCCCACAGCAGAGTGAGCCCCGCCGGACTGGTGGCTTTTCATTGCCAGGTCCGGTTTTGGCTTACGGACTTGAAACGAACCAAGCAGCTCAGAGACCTCACCTACAGTTCTGCGAAATGTTCATGGTTGAGGGTGTCCGTGTTTTTTGGTTGCTTCGGGCAAAGGAACGCACCCATTTGGATGGTCCATTTGCAGACCGCTGTAGAGGACATGGCCCAACCCCAGGTCCGCAAGAAGATGTTCGAGATCCACAAGAATCGAATCAGCAAGATCGGGGAGTTCTCGGTTTCTTGCCGGGCACCCGAGGCTTGACCAAAGCTCGATATTTTGCATTTGGGTGTGTGTTTTTGAGGGTACCCCCCATTTTTGTGGTTTTAAAGGTAAACACAAAGGAAAGCCGTCAGTTTGTGGGGTGCCTAAAAACAGAAGCAAGCCCGGACAGCGGAAAGGCATGAATGCAACATGGTGGGGGAATTGGTAGAGCCACGTTCAAACGGGAATGTCCTAAGATGTGTGGATGGAATCCCAATGGTATCACGGCGAGGGCCAGTTTCCAGACAGTTCAACGGGTGGAAAAGGTGGCAGCATGTTGAAGTTCTGAAGGTCGAACAGCTGGATCGGGTTGGGAAAGGATACACAAGGAGAGACACCTACGGCTTTACTAGCGGGTGCTGCCGGGATACTGTTTGCAGACTTGGGTGCGGTGAGGTCAGCAGACCTCCTCACAGATTGACAACCAGCACCTGGGCTGCACAATTTGGGATTGCACCTTGGCTCAGGCAACCCCCTTGTTCCTCACGAAACCAATGAGGGCAGCCCCCCGTCCAAGGCACCACAGAAGGGCAAACTGATTGGCTTCGGTCACCAGCTCCAAGTGGGGCCCTAAACGTTGTGGAGGGCGGCCATGCATGGGGGTGTCACGTTCAAAAGGATGCAGCCATTTGAGTCTCTTTTTGATGGGAAGGATCATGACACATGCTCCGCAAGTTAAAGTGCCTGTTTGCGACGATTGCGGGGGCCAAGGAGGATAGCCATCAAGAAGATTGGCGAGCTGATTGCCCAGGCCGAGATTGGTGAACTGAACTGACATTCATTATGCCATGTGGGCTTGTCTCAAAACTGGGGGAGCCTCCGAAATGGGCGTTCTCTTTAGGGTTCCCTTGAGCCAACTCGGAGGGTTCCGAGTACCATCGAAAAGGGAAAAGGCAGGTGTATGTGGGCCACATTTCCGTGATACTAGGGGGAATGCACCTGACAGGCAGAGAAGGATGTGAGGAGTGATGATTGGGAAGAGAACGAAAAGCTGGAGCCGAGAAGGGGGGGATGGCCGTTTTATGGATTGCAGGCTTTCAGCAAATCAGATAAGAGGCTCAAATAGGTGGTACCCACACCTTTTTAAATGCCAGCATTGGACCATTTTGCTGGTTTGAATGGTCAATAATTTGCAAGGAATGAACACTTCGATCGGCTCCCTGGCCACACGAAAGTAGACAGCGATCGATTCCCAGAGGTCCCTGAACGTAGGGTACCCCCACCCCGGGGATCAGCGGCCTCAGATCACACGCCCAGGCTTTCAGCCAGTGCAAACGCACTGGGCAACAAACCATAAGCTCAGGTGGTAAGCCATGGTTGTTGGGAAACATTGGAATCATTTTTGCTTAGTGGTGGAAATCCAACCACTTAACTGCTAAAAAATGGAAACATGTTTGCTCCCCTTCCAACGTCAACCAAGAAGCCGACCCATGCAGGCCCCTGTAGCATGGTTTCCGCAGGACTTCAAGGACTTCGTAGTTCAGAAGTTCAAGCGGCTTGGCGCTGGGGGACTTGTGTTTGCGTCAAGAGAGCTTGGTAGTGAGCATCCAATATGAGCATCGTCTCCTGATTCTGGCCCGATTTGGGGGAAACAGTTGGTTGATTTGCAGAACGGTAACAATGCTAGGAATAATTGGTGGAAATTCCGTGGGCGGCAATGGTTGGCTGTCACCAGAACCAACACACTCGTAGATGACAGCAGCCGCGCAGAGTGCTCAGTGACCTGAAAGGACTTGCTCAGTGGTACAGGGCATCAGCAAATGTCAACATGGAAAAGTGCAGCCAAGAACTCCACCAGCTGCAGCAAGTGAAAACATAGATCGATTGATATAAGAACTTGAATCCTTGAATGCAACCGCAGGGTGTTTCTGCTTCAATGAGGCTTGAGTTGCTTGCTGCCTTGAGTGATGAAGACTGGGCTCTTTGTCGGAGGTGCTGTGTTGTTCTGCGGTCTAACCCACCCAGAAGCCACAGCTGCCAAGGGACAGACTATACGTGAGCCAGTGTCTGACAGGGAAAAATAGATTGCAGGACCAGAATTGAGAGTTGCCTGACAAGTAGGTTGTTTCCGCTTCAATGAGGCTTGAGTTGCTTGTTGCCTTGAGTGATGAAGACTGGGCTTTTTGTCGGAGGTGCTGTGTTGTTCTGCGGTCTAACCCACCCAGAAGCCACAGCTGCCAAGGGACAGACTATACGTGAGTCAATGTCAGACAAGGCAAAATAGATTGCAGGACCAGAATTGAGAGTTGTCTGACAAGTAGGTTGTTTGTGCTTCAATGAGGCTTGAGTTGCTTG